GAGATTCAAACCCGCGTTAGAGTGTTGCATTCAGCGGCACTACCACGAGTCTTTTCCGGGCACTACTGATCTCCTAGCTTGGTGGACGCACTCAGAAATGATAGACATATTTCGGTTAACACTCGAAATTAGAGAACATGAAACTGATTGCTCTACAGTGCCAAACCAATGTATACAAATGGTTCATTTACCATTCAGTAACGATGGGTTAAAAAGGGCGATTAGAATTTATATACTTGACTTTCTTTAGCAGCTTCCACATGGACACCTGTCGACTCAAAACTTCTGTTCACTTAGATGTGATAGTTGCGAACAAGCACGTAACCTTAGAATACTACCTGCATTTAACCCAGTTCCTCAATTGAGTAATTGCACAATCAAATACCGAAAAGAGATTCTCCGAATTTCATGATTTATTTTGGAGTTATTTACGAGTTGCCTGGTCAATCCCTCATTACACTCGCTTTTTGTGTTCCATCTCCTTGCAATATAAGCGAAATTTAATCAAATGTTTGGCCCACCAGGCAAGACTAATCTGTTCTGATGATACCTTCGATGAAGAACCTCCAACTAACCGTGTTCTACTCAGCACAAATGGATGTTCAGAAACGTTTGTCATAGTAAAAATATGAACATAACCAATATGAAAACAAGTACCTGCAGCTTCCAAGAAACTGCTGTTCCTGAGACTACAAATTTGGGGGGGGGGGTACATAATCAGCAAAATCGTGTCACAGCGACTAAGGAATGCTACAAGATCATTTAGGGCAGCAGAGTTATGCTGTGTATTCCACAGTCGGTAAATGATGACCTCATTAATCAACGACAGACTAAATGACTTCGTCTCCCCTGTATTTATCTACTAGTTCAACCGCTTTTGTGCGGCTAGTCACATTAGGCATACAGTTGGGTAAGTCAGTTGTCAAATCGCCAAACATCATCCGTCATGGTTTGGAAAAGGGCAAACAAGATGGATACAAAGCTCTATACTCATTCGTGTGGTTGACACTGACCACTGAGTTAATATTCATAATGCTTGTAGAGTTATCTATTGCATTCCTTCCAATCCTACCCATGCGCTGCGAGTTTGTCTTTCACACACACCAGAAGTCCCTGGAATGCACTTAGACAAGCCAAGTCTGTGTATTCAGAAAAAATTCGTACAGCCTTTTTCTTGGCCATCTGCACAGTGCTGTATCATGTTGTAGAGCCATCGATGAGTAAGAATCTAATTAGGAAGAAATAATCCTTCTTTCGGAGTGAGGACATGTTACTTAAATGGAAGAGTATGAATCTAGGGACGTAACTCTTATGTGTATGTACATTGTGGGCATCCTTGGGGTGAACAGACAAATTGGCATTATTAAAAGTGGAAGAAGAATCACCAGGGAAATAACCTCCTTAAAAGCGGTAAAAATGACCGATAAATGTGAGGCGGAAAAGGGTGCGAAGAGGATAATTTCACATTTTCTTTAGGACAAATCTTTGAAATGTAGGCATTAACCTTCATTTTTTGGAATCTGACATCCCCAACACCTCCCGCTTGGAAAAATTGGGATGTTCTACTGGGTAACACATAGTCGTTCACTGCCTTCTTCCCAACAGTTTTCACGGAAGGAGTTTTTCATTTGTTGAGGGACGTTTTATAAAATCGGTTCATCATTGGATTGGTTCTCAATGGATTGTCAGAATGTGCTCGATTGAGTGTTCAGCGGGGAGGTTTTTGATGATGTTTGTTGTTCGTGAGCTGTTCATGGTTAAAGCTGATTTGTGTATCGTGTCCGTATGTCGTGTTCGATGACTATGTCGCTTGTCATACTCACGCTAGAGGATTACTGTTTTGGGTATCCATTTTTTGTACTGGGGTCTATAGTGGCAGACAAATACTGATGTTATTCCTTCACACTTTTTTCTGGTGTTAACTGGTAGCTTTCTGGAAGGTGTTTTTGGGATGGTACTATAGTAAGGCGTTTCGACTAGAGTCTAGCATGCATTTAGCGCATCACTGAGTGTTGTTGTACACACGAACAAAACATTTTAATATTTACCCTCTGCTTTCCTTCTCTTGCCTTTAGTAAAGCTCTCTTAAGTGTATCCACGAAGCATTCAGCTGGTTCATCAGGTTGCGGTTAGCAGAATGGTAAGAGAAAGTGATCGATTCCTTCCTTGGAACAATATTTGTGGGACTGTTAGGAAGTGAACTAAGGCCCATTGTAAGTCACGATGATTTATGGTCTTTAATCACAAAATAAAATAGTTGAAAGGACTTGCAGAGTTTCTGTGGCAGTTGGCGTATCTAATGATATGATCTGGGGCCACTTTGTGCATGCATTAACTAAAACGAAATAAGATCCTATGTTCGTTGGTCCACAAAACTTGCATACACATATGACCATGAATTATCTGGTTGTGATCAGGGAATAGGTGATACTCATGGCATTGTAAAAAGCCTTTGACATATTCGGCGATATCGTCGTCCATGTCAGGCAAATTAGTTTAGCTTCACCCAACTGCCTTCAAATGTTCCACTTCTGATCGATACATGCGGAACTGGCTTAGAACTTGGACTAGTGTTTGTGTGATTGCAACACGATTCCAGAACAGGATGCAGTCATGTATTACACACAAAAACTGTTTTTGATTGAACTGCTGTGGTAAGTCACCGGATGGTGATTTGGTTGGTCACTGATGCTAAACAAATTTGATAGCACACTGAAGTGAATCATATTTCTTCATAGCTGCATTAACATCTACTGCCACTTTTGGAAAAATTTTCAGTCTTGCAGTAAGACAGTGGACTACATCATCTTCAGCGGGTACAGTCGCAATTATGCTGTTTTCCATGGATAGGTGGATAACCATCTAACACATATGAAAGTCCATAAGCCCAGCCAATACGCATGAGGTGGGAAAGGGAGCGAAAGAGATAAATCCAAATTTCTACCATGTGATAATACGAAATATAGACGCAAAAGGTTCATTCCTCGTGATCTGGCAATACTAGCAAAAATATTCATAGAAGCCAAAATATTATTCAACAGCATCGAGATTAGAAACAGAAATATTTATTACAAATATGCAAAATGGACGCAGTCACGCGCAAATCAAATTGCAACGCTACGCTACGCATCATCATAGAACAGAGTATAGAATGGCAGTCAACTGGATCTTCACCTCAACTTCATCGACTTTGGAAAGGCCTTCGACGGTGTCAACCGAGAAGTAATTTGGCAGTTGCTACAACACTACGGAGTGCCACAAATCTTTATCAACCTCATTCAACAACTATATGAAGACACCACATGCCAAGTAATTCACAATGGGAAGCTCAGTGATGCCTTTGAAGTGAAGTGAAGTGAAGACAGGAGTAAGACAAGGTTGCCGCCTACCATCACCAATGATCTTCCTGATTGTGGTCGACTGGATCATGCAGCCAACCCTGAGAAGCGAGAAGATCGGCACACGCTGGACCGATGAAAAGAGCCTAGATTTGAATTTCGCCTATGATGATTTATGTCTAGTGTCGCACAAACTCGAACATCTACACGCGAAAACTAACAAGTTGATAGAAAAGGCAGGGCAGCGAAGACGGGACTTCAAGTGAATGTAGAGAAGACAGGGGTGATGATGATAACCAACCAACGCCACCACCACCAACAACAACAAGCTCCAATCACCATCAACGGGAGAAACCTAAAGTAAGTAGTCTCTTTCAACTACCTAGACAGGCAGCATCGTTTCAACTACAGGCGGCACAGACGAGGATGAGAAAGCCAGGATCGGAAAGACAGCAAGACAGGCTTTCCTTCATTAACCTGAAATCAGTGTGGAGATCTGCTGCACTGCACTCAGAATAAAGCGTGAACAAGATCCGGATTTTCAACACAAGTGTCAAGTCAGTGCTTCTATATGATGGTTCAGAAACTTAACATCTTACGAAAAGCATTTGCAACAAACTACAGACATTCATCAACAACTGCCTACACTCACTCGTTACTGAAGCTCAGATGGCCAGAAAGAATAAGCAACAAGGAACTCACTCTGGCAATGAACCAACCGAGAACCCATCGCCTAACAAATATGCAGAAGGAAGTGGAGATGGATTGGGCATGCGCCGAGAAGACCGTTCGGAGACATCACGCGCCAGGCACTCGAGTGGAATCCAGATGGGAAACGGCGAGTTGGGCGTCTGAGGCGAGGGTGACATGGAGGAGATCATGTGAGGAAGAAATAGAAGCTTGTGGGTAGTGGTGGAGCGAGGTTCAAAAGATTGCAGAGAAGAGAGTGGAATGGAGACGTGCTACTGAAGCTCTTGTTCCACCAGGAATCTATGGGACAGATATTACTACTGATATTAATAACATTTACAGCCTTATATATATTATCATTCTAGTCTACACTAGAAATCTGTACACAGATGGAAAATCCTTCGTAATAGCCGACTCAGACTCTCCTGAATTTGTTCCGAATGTAGTCACCAGTATGATCCCTAAGTTGGCTGGCCAGACCTAGACAGTATGACTTTAGGAGGTGAACCTTCTTGCTTAATCCGATCGCATGCACAGAGGAGATCTCATCATATTGTACAGGATTTCATGTAATTACTTTGAATCTGATCTGTCCTCTCCTTTTTCCCACTATATCAGAACTCCTCAGAGGGTATAGCGTTAGAGTAAAGAAGCAAAGGTCTAATGTATTTCCCATAGAATTATAGTTGACACCTCGAGGAATCAAAACAGAGATCAACTCAACTGACTTCCAGGTGAAGTGATGTCCACATAATCGATTGGTTCGTTCAAACGACGACTGGGTAAACACAGAGATCTACTAGAGGCGGATATTTATAGGCTAACTACAAATCTTAATACTTGGTGTTTAATGATTCTCTAGTCTCATCACTTAGGAATATAATTAAAGCAAGAAATTCACCAACTTGCTGTGTCTGCTAATACTTACAGAATAAATAAAATTTCCTTTCAAACAAATCTTTATTTCATTATTTAATAGTCTGTAGTTACACATGAATTCCCTTTACCTCCAAGGTTGGGTGGAAGAACATCAAGAAAACAGCCAAACGTTCCACCCATACGTGCACACAGATTTCTCCTGTGGTTAGGCAGTGGAAAATAAAAAGTTAGATTTCATGACAGCACTAGTGATTGCACTTTAATGGTTAGTGAAGGTATAAAATGCTAATTTATTGATCTACTTCCTAGCTTGAGACATCAAACCAATGCAAATCCTAAGGTGAATTATTCACGTATTCACGTTATTGATCGACTGCTTTGTCAAAAATCAAAAACTATTTCTGTAGGCGTTTCAGTTGGTATTACCCGTGCTGTGTTATATAAAGCAATGACTTTCACTGCAGAAATTCGTTTCGTACATGCATCTCCATATGTGCAATCCATGTTCGAATTAAAAAGCTTTCATATGAAGAAGGACCTGAAATGAATATGAGTAGTATTTTGACTTTTGCAGAACAAGCATCAGACTAGGCTTCCATCAAATACGGGAAAACACCTGACTCACTTTCAAGAACTCAAAGTCATCTTGTCAAACACCGAGTAGAGCAAGTTTAGGCCTTTTTCTCCGCTTAAAAACGAATGACCGTGGTTTCAATAGGCCTCATAGTAAATATAGTAAGTGCAACAGAATTTGCTGAGGTCATATCGCCGCCAGTGCATGTAGGCATGACAGATTTTTGAAAAGAAGGCAACGCTATAGTTTTAACTACGAATAACACACCGGTAACGCTTCCTTCTAGTTTTCCTTCAAATCCTCCTCCTCTACCTCCGGAAACTACCAAAAATGCACACCACAAATAAAAGCAACATTATGAAAGCATCAGTAAAATTACAAGTAGAAAACGCCAGAGTCGCTCTCTGAAATGGCAACCTCATAAAGAAACGAAGAATACAACAGTCACTCAGTGTCTCTTGAAAAAATGTCACGAAAGTGTGCACCTATTCCAGTACCACGTAAAATACAAAATATTTTGTAAGCACATGTTGGAAAACCGGAAGGAAGGGATGATCACGTTTAAAAATGGCAAACTCATTATTGCATCATGAATTCATCTCGCACACAACTTCAAAACACATGACCAGCTGACCAGCGTGACATATCTCTCTCTGCCCAGGCCGATTGTCTCACCCATTATTATACCTCTAATGGAAGCAGAGTAATTACAGCTTCACATATAGAACGCATACTTTTAGAAGGCTGAAAAATCACACCTGGAACATGGATGGGATATCGTCTTCCAAAACACACATGTGCACAGTTATACAGGTCTCCACTTAATGCCTTCAATCCTCTGTACAACAAACATCTTGAGCGTTTTAAAATATGCACAGAAGACCATCAGGAGATCTAAAATCACACGTGCCTCGCAGTTTAAGCTCCTCGTGTCACAGTTGAATTCAAACTCCTGAGATAAGACAAATGAATACACCAGTCATGTGCAAATCCTAGCCATGGCGACGCCCATCAGTCCAAACTTGAATCAATTTGTTTGCGTGTCATGCATAACGCAAATATCAGAGTGTACTAAGTAAAACGAAGTTAATTTCATTTGCCAGAATGCAAATGGAAAAATATAAAAACAGGTGAACTCACCAGATATCGAGAATGAATAATCTGAGAGTTGAATGGAGCAACACAGAAATCTACATGTGTCTACAGGTGTGTTTGCATGTATGTATGTATGTATGTATGTATGTATGTATGTATGTATGTATGTATGTATGTATGTATGTATGTATGTATGTATGTATGTATGTATGTATGTATGTGTGTATGTATGTATGTATGTATGTATGTATGTATGTATGTATGTATGTATGTATGTATGTTTGTATGTGTTTAGTTATGTTTTTGTGTATATATATATATATATATATATATATATATATATATTTAGGCGTGACAGACTTGCATTTTTGTATCGCGTGATGTGATCTCTGCAGGACTCTGATTATTCGGACCCTGCATGTCGTGAAACTTGGGACCAGTGGATTGACTGATATTTCAATGGTCAGTATTTTGTATTCAGCTGGTCTCCTCACTCATAACTTAATTTTTTATCCTTAGTGGTGAAAGCTGACTAGTCTACCGGAATTTGTTATTGGCTATAGAGTCAAACCAGAAATCAGTACGTATTGGATGACGAGGAAGTGGATCGTATGAAGCTTATGAAGACAGAGTTTCATATATCATGACGCCACAGTGGCAAATAATTGCTTCTATAGTCATTCGAGTTTGAAGATAATGGTAAACTACATTCGTGTGCCATGACGTGTATTCTTCCAAGCAAGACCAGTCACGAATTTCAGGGGAGGAGTATTTCGCTCTGATTTCATCGAAGATTCGTCTGCCTTAGCAAAGTACTCTGAAATAAGTTAACTATTCTGTCAGAATACTGAGAAAGTCTTACTGAAGAGGGGTACACTCAGTCAGCAGTCTCACAGTGATTTTAAAGAATACGACTCTGCAGATTACCACGAAAATAAATCACTATCGACTGACATCGGTAGCGAAATATCAGTCAAACTGAGATCACTCAAATTTACCTTCAGGTAAATGACACTAACTGGAACTTCTTCAGGTTGTAGGATATTCTCAATCTCATTTGAGTTGAACGGACTGATCTGTGATAGTCAGTCACCTGTGAGGTTCACCATCTAATAACTGGTCCAGTGAAATGTGTTGCATATAGTAATTCCGTTAATTTATTCTAACATTTCCGCACATCACTGAAGTGTTTCAGTGCATCAAATGACAGATCTTCCATGGTGATGAACGAGAGTGCAGGATGTCATACTGTGCACTGATTCCAGATTAGGTGGGACGGTACACATCCATCCAGCCTAAATAATACAGCTAGAAATGAGATTTTCTATTTCAGGGTTACGTTAATAACTGGAAACAGACCAATATCGTTGGAATATGCAGATGCTCACACAAAGCATACAGACGTATACTTTCCAATTTACACAGTGTGAATTGGACGATATAATTCTCAGATATTAATGGTAGGTGAAGTGGTCAGGTTCTCTGCATAACAAGCAATGTACACTGACGAATAACACTTGCTATTACACTTACTTTAAATTGAAGATGACTGAAAATATGTAGCGAATAGCGTGACGACATTGTACTTGAGTGTTAGCAAATAATAGTATCAAAAAGTCAATAAAATGCTCTGGTACACAAGAATAGGTTGTCAGTAGATATTTAGTTTTATGCATTCACCAACTATTAGAAGTTATCCGGTGAGGAGAGGTGATGACAAAACTATGGCCTAAATGTAACTTGAAATTGTTTTTCTTTGAACGCATAGCATCGTGACATTTACGGAATCCGTAATACTGTCATACATTTAACTGCTAAGTATTCTAAGAAGATTACTACCTTTATTATCACTGAGGCAGAGAGGAAGCTGACCGCATATCATCTGAATATACCTCAATGGTTCTGTATTGCCTTCATTCTCAACATTATACATTTGTTCTTCAGATTACTCGTACAGTGTTTCTTATCGTAGAAATGTTGTAGAAATTTCATGTCATGGAAATGCAGAAATCTCGTAATGCACCTGAAAAATGTCTTGAATTGTCACATAGAATCACCATCCATATACCCAGCAATGAGAGACATTTTTACATCAGTTTCACAATTCACTTTCACACCGTTAAATCCATAAGAACTAAAAACGCATTTGGTCTATACTACAGGCTTTATTCTGGCGAAGCAAGAAAATGTGTGGTGGATATTGCACAAGTAGAAAGCCAAGATGAACAAATGCATACAAATTTCGACTTATGGAATTAGTAAGCTTCACGAACAGTTATCTCTATTTGTTGAGCTAAATTTTATTTCATAACCTGAATAAAACTTACCATTATCGCTACCTGGAAAAGATATATAGTGAGTTGACGAATGTATTTCTTTGGAAAGACAACAAAGCTTCTATGATTTACGCAATTCCAGAAGATGTACAAAAGCAACAGTTGGATGTCAAGCAGTTAAAAATACATAATTCGTGTTTATTTGAGAGTTACGGGCATCTCTGCTATTTCTCAAATCTTAAATTAGAAAGATGAAGGTGTTTCATTTAGTTCACTGCAAGAAATCAGTGAGCTGTAAACAAGACCATGGTCAATCTCGTCCACGTCACAACTACTTAGAGTCGTGCAAACAGTGACTGCTTTTCCTCCAGAGAACATCGTGGCTTCCCACAATGTGAGTGAGAATCGATTACTATGAACAACTTTGGGATCGCACATGCGATTCAACACACAATAAGTGAGACAACAGGTGAGCAAATAATCAAAGAGCATGAAGAGAGTTGAAGGACCGGATGTGACCGGATGCTAAATATTGGAGGCAGGATATAATCACTCAAACGAAAAGCAGTAAAAATAAATGCGTCACGAAATTAGAAGTTTACCTAATCTGTCCAAAACAGAACGTGACGTACATTAGTGTCATCATGTAACCATCATGCAGCTGGCGTTTCGCACTCACTAATTGAATTCATGGTATCCGTCGAGAATCACTCAAAGTGAGAACATATGCAAAACGGCATTCAACATAGTTTGTAGTCAAATTCAGAATTCAATATCGCGGATGTGAAATGAACCAGAGAGGCGTGAATTCTGCTTTGGGAAATACTTCTCAGAGCACCATCGTCCAAGTCGCTGTTCTCCACATACTGTTTGCAATATAGCATTATCGTGTTTATTTGTAAAGTGATATAAAGCATTTCTTAGGAAAACAGAGTGCCAAATTCTCTGGCTGATATTCCGTAGCTGAAATGACTGAATGACTTGTTTGATGTTGAATCCATGTCTCAGTCCAGCAGACTCATACAGCTTACTTCTCTACACAATCGACTGATCATACACTCATCCATCATGCATCACATCTGCATAGCGACTGGTTGTTTGAAAATCGATGTGTGCAGGTCAAGTGAGTGATGTGAAGGGAAAAGGTAATCCGTGCATATACCGGTAATAATGTTGAGGAACTTACCATCGACACCGTACAACAATATTGCTGAAAAAATGAAAAGACATGCAAGAAGCAAATTATTATTCCGAGTCATGAATAATTGAATGTACTCAGCAGTACTGCCTTGTGACAAATTACCTAATGATACATTTATGACGTAGTGTGGAATATGAGACGATAATTTATGTCAGCATGTCGATCAGCACTCCAGTCACAAACCACACATCTACAATGCAGAAAATAATGATCGATGAATTGTGTTGTGTGAACTTCTCACCAACATCCATTTGGTGCTAAACAAACAAACAAACAACCAAGTAAACAAAGGAACAGACATCGGAGTACAGCTGCATTCTGCCTCGTTGGAGCACGAGCTGCGTAAATATATTCCTCTGATCAAATATTAGTTGACTTTGAATCATGTGTCTGACTGGTTTTATTTACTGATGAACGAATCAAAGCAGTAAAGTATCACTTTGCTTACAATGTAGTGTTAAGGGGAGCAGATTGCCGTTGGAATGCTAACTACAGAGTCTTTTCTACATGGACTTCAAAAGGTTTCAGTGAGAAGCCACCACCTGTGATATTATCTGAGATAGATGTTGGATGGAATGAGCCTCCATAGCACTGGATGGTGGTTGTCCTATATCACAAATGAGCAGAAGTGAGAAAACATGAGTTATCGAATTCCAACACACTTTTTGGGAGGCAATGAGGAAGTCACGGGACCTGATGGTTGTAGGCTACATCTGATATTGTGTCGTATGTGCGCACTGTTGATGAGATAGAAATCAGGATGAAACGGCTATTTAGTGCCCTTAGATTTCGGAATATGTTGACAGACAGTAGTCGAGTACAGTTTATGATGGTTGGATGATTTTTAAACACCTGTTACGTGTTAGACTCTGAATAACTTTCCTCGAAGCGTTGACTTAAACAGAAATATAATGCATCACGATGTTTAATATAATAGCGTAATTTAGAGATGAACAAATTAAAAGTATTTTCGGCACATAAACAGTGATGTTATTGCCACCAATTCCTATAGCTATCATTGTTGATAATATGAGATTCCTGATGGCATTGGGGAGATTCTGTAGAATGCGGAAAACAGTTTTCAGTGGTGTGCCTTCTCTATTTTGATGATCACCATCCACTACTGTCAAGCTTTGTGGCCATGAAATGGAAAGCGGACGCCAATGCGTAGTTCGATTTATCTCACTTGAGGAATCTACCAGTAGGCGATTCTTGTTGAAATATTTTTTAGTTGGACCCCTGGAATAACTGTCTGTGCCAGACTTTGATAACTATTAATTCATACCTTATTGTATGGTTTAGAGTGTAAATAAATGTACACATGTACGTTTACAGCTGCAATGAGTGAAAATCAATTAGCGTGAATATTTCATATCATATTTAGAGATTACATATTATTCAGAAGAGAGATTTCATTGACGAAAATTCCTCTTTGCAAAGACTTCATTTTCAAAAGTTATACAACTGTATTCATACATTGATACTGGCTTATGATTGAAGATGAAATCAGAATTTGGGCCACGGCAGGATTTTAACCAGGAAGCACTGACTTTCTGACCTGGTTCTCTATCAACTGAAATAAGAAACCCGATGGTGGAGCAGATTTTTATTTCACTTCAATCATCAAGGATGATACACAAAAAATTTTTGTCTGTGTTTCATTTTTATAATAAGTGGAATCATAAAGTGGATTTTTATAACTGAGGCTAATATTTCATGAATCATCCTATCATTTGAAAAATATATAGGAGACTAAAGATCAAAGACGCAAGATGGGAGGTGGATGAGTGACTGGACACAGTCTGATTTCTTGTAATTTCCCTTTATTATACAGCACCGAATTACTTCACCTCTTTTAGTAGATAGGCTCTGATGCGGTTGCCTTGGTACTGCTGGATATTCTGATGTTATATTATTCTTGATGACCAGCAGATGAATCCAAGACGCACATCTCATCCTATTTGGGACGCGTCAGCTGGGTGTATCTGAACCTCAGTGAGTGGTGTTGTTCCCAATGAAGCTTCCGAATTACTCTGATAGTCACCAGGATCAATATAATATCATGAATGTCCGGCACCATCAAGACATCCACATAGGAACCAATCTGCCAACAGAGGTAGGGCGATTTGGCCCTGTATAGCAGCGGGAAATCACAAGTATCATTACAACAATAATAGTCGATGAATTGTGTTGTGTGAACTTCTCACCAACATCCATTTGGTGCTAAACAAACAAACAAACAACCAAGTAAACAAAGGAACAGACATCGGAGTACAGCTGCATTCTGCCTCGTTGGAGCACGAGCTGCTTAAATATATTCCTCTGATCAAATATTAGTTGACTCTGAATCACATGCGTAGTCTGCACACGTACCATCAACGGATCCACTGCTCCAGAAGGGTAAGACTCCATATTTTATAAAAGATAACGACTCTGGCAACAAGAAAATTACTGGCAAATTGACGAGGCGCCATCTACGCATACTGGTAGATGTGTTCACTAATCAAAACGCCTTGCAGACTTCATCGCTTAGTCCTTTAAAGCTTCGATGTCTGGAAAAGCTTTTTAACTCCATGTTGGTTTAGTGTTCTTTAACACGGTGTCCATCCTACTTTTTCTGCATCAAAAATGTTTACAAAATGTTTTGAAAAAATTGTAAAAATAATAAAAACCCTACAATGAAGGCACTTTAATGTCTGTTGTTTGGTTAGTAGTTTATCCATCACCTCATATTTTTGTGTTGCATTTGTACCTTTATTTTTTACTAATACTGTACTTCAGTCATTTCAGACCAGTAGAAACATAAGTTATCGGATACAAGCCGGATATAGACGATACTAATTAAATCATTCTTGTGTTTCCGATACCGATCACTAATTGTACAGTTTTTCCTCGTAGCTTAAGGTTCACCGAAAAAATGTAGACGGAGGCTTCGAATCACTTACCGACACTGAAAAAAGGGTTGCATTTAGATATAAAGTTTTGTTACCTCGTAGGTGTGCATAGTTGCACTAACTACGAAGACCCACACCATCCCCAACATAGGTGTTGCACGTCCGCCGCATAGTTGCCTCCTAGGGTCGGAGGTTGTCTGTGTACCCTGTATTAAAGGCACAACCTGTGGTGGACATTCTCTGCAACAAACATACTGCCAATTTTAAAATAAATGAAGAAAAATTTTAAAATATCTAAATAATAGTTGAATAAAACTCATCTTTGTAAACGCGTAACTTTAGTTCCGAAAGTTTGTTTTAATGTATAGGCTTGCGCCCCTTCGACATTTACCGTATATGAGTCCTCTTCGTGCTGATCAGCAGCTACATACTCACACTCTCCAGTTCAACCATTAATAGACGGATGAGCTTGACGTTCTTTCCTTAATGTAAACTCTTTGTCTGAGACCAATAAGTAAACCGCTCGTCTTAGTTATTTTACCATATGACTTTCTTATTTGTGTTTGGGTATCAGTACTTACACGTAGGTAAGGTACTGATTATTTTAGAACTGGTTCATATCGATTTACATAAGACCGGTCAAGTGTTAGGCAACAGCAATAAAACAAATAGCCTTTTAAGAATGAAGTGACACAGAAAATTATCACTATCTCTACAGCGCAGTGTGAATCGGGTTTTATTTTTGATGAGTCGATGACATAAGTTCTTCAGAGCTGCGAACATCTTCCTGCAAAGGAGAGGAAGTTTATTGACTTGATGGTGAATTTGTAATCGGTAGTTATAAATTCTAGTACCTTTCAACTGTTGACACAGTGATACCTTGCAAAAAACACAACAGATCAAATTAGTTCAGCTCATAATTAACTTGAAGTTTCTTCATGTTGAATTAAAGTGTACTATTGTTCCACACATTGCTGTTAACTTCCATCACATCAAAAGCTATTGTGGCAGGCATATGTGACAGGTAAAAGACTCATCTACCTCTTTTTCCATCGACGTCCACCATTTTATTCCGAGCCTAAAAGACTTTCTTTGGTTTAAAGAAAGCTCACCACCCACTGCCTTCGAAGTAGACTTCCCTAGTTCCAGCGGGAAGTCATCATCCGGCAGATCACTAAAGATTGGTGTCAGACGAAATCATCACCAATGACATTGGATGATGACTAGTCTACATCATGGAAGTGAGAAAATGTAAATCATCGGATTCCAACATACTTTCTGCGCAGTAACGAGGAAGTCATGGTACCTGATGGTCACAGGTTACATCCGATATTGAATTGCTAGTTTTCACTGCCGATGAGATCAAAATCAGGGCGAAACAGCTATCCAACGCTCGCAGTATTTAGAACGTGTGCTGATAGAAAGTTGTCAATCATAACTTGTGATGGCTGATTGATCTTAATGCAGCTGTTACGTGTTCGTGGGATTCAAAGCAACCCAATAGGTTTATTATTTGGAAAAAAAGGTAAAATCCTGCAACTGACTATGCAAGGAATAGAAGAACATGCAGCAATTACTTTTTAGTTTTTTTTCAACAGTTATAGACTTCATCTACCATAGGTTAAATTCCCCCTCATATGTTCCGGTGAAACTAAAGAAATTCATTGTTTTTGAATTGGGTTAAATATTTACAGATTTTTAGTGGACGGAAGTTTAGTAACATTGCTCTTCTCTCGATACAAGTGAAATAGTGCAGCATTCTTCCTACTGGCAACTCACTGGAAAGAATCAAGATTTAAAAATTCGAGTTTCCTAAGCAAAGCCAGACATTATAGTCACAAAACTATATACCAATTGTTGACGCCTAACTTTCAAGATATTAGAGTTGCGAATTAAGTCAGACAGCTTCAAATGATCGATGAGCAAGTCCTATCTGCAGCACTGATACTGAAGTTCACCCGACCAATATCCTGTAAAATTAATTGCACCCGTGAGTATGCTCGTAAAATATGACGCTATGACTGGCTTATTACATTTCAGGCATAAGCAATCTCATCTATATGGATTTTGTGCTTACCTCTTGACTTAACATCATTCATATTTGGTTTTGTTTCTGGCGTTTGTTCTGTAACATGAACGTTGTTTACTGCTTGAAAATGTAGTTGTTCATATTCACTCATTTCATATGCCATGTACTTGTTTACCCATGCGTATTAATACCATATCAGTTGTCCGCTTCGTAAGGGAGAAAGCAATAATCTAGAAAATTTTGTTGCATCAAGTAGAGCGGACTGCCTCATCGACCTAAGATTTATATAACGTAATGAGAGAATGGCATCCCAAACACATACGTATGAACGTCAAAAACCTCATGAATTTCGAAGATGTACGCCATAAATATTTGATGCTTATCATGTTCTAGAAGAGGAATCTAGGACGCGCGTTTCGTCCTATTTGGGAATCGTCGGCTGGGTGTACCTGCAGCCCAGTGAGTGATGTTGTTCCAACTGAGGCTCAAACCCAGTGCCCATAGCTTCAAACGTCAGAGCGTTATCCATTAAGCCACTGGGGTACGATAGCCACCTCTTGTGTAACGGGTATCAGTTGTTGTAATGATGCTTGTGATTTCCCGCTGCTATACAGGGCCGAATCGCCCTACCTCTGTTGGCAGATTGGTTCCTATGTGGATGTCTTGATGGTGCCGGACATTCATGATATTATATTGATCCTGGTGACTATCAGAGTAATTCGGGAGCTTCATTGGGAACAACACCACTCACTGAGGTTCAGATACACCCAGCTGACGCGTCCCAAATAGGATGAGATGTGCGTCTTGGATTCATCTGCTGGTCATCAAGAATAATATAACATCAGGAATATCCAGCAGTACCAAGGCAACCGCATCAGAGCCTATCTACTAAAAGAGGTGAAGTAATTCGGTGCTGTATAATAAAGGGAAATTACAAGAAATCAGACTGTGTCCAGTCACTCATCCACCTCCCATCTTGCGTCTTTGATCTTTAGTCTCCTATATATTTTTCAAATGATAGGATGATTCATGAAATATTAGCCTCAGTTATAAAAATCCACTTTATGATTCCACTTATTATAAAAATGAAACACAGACAAAAATTTCTTTGTGTATCATCCTTGATGATTGAAGTGAAATAAAAATCTGCTCCACCATCGGGTTTCTTATTTCAGTTGATAGAGAACCAGGTCAGAAAGTCAGTGCTTCCTGGTTAAAATCCTGCCGTGGCCCAAATTCTGATTTCATCTTCAATCATAAGCCAGTATCAATGTATGAATACAGTTGTATAACTTTTGAAAATGAAGTCTTTGCAAAGAGGAATTTTCGTCAATGAAATCTCTCTTCTGAATAATATGTAATCTCTAAATATGATATGAAATATTCACGATAATTGATTTTCACTCATTGTAGCTGTAAACGTACACGTGTACATTTATTTACACTCTAAACCATACAATAAGGTATGAATTAATAGTTATCAAAGTCTGGCACAGACAGTTATTCCAGGGGTCCAACTAAAAATATTTCAACAAGAATCGCCTACTGGTAGATTCCTCAAGTGAGATAAATCGAACTACGCATTGGCGTCCGCTTTCCATTTCATGGCCACAAAGCTTGACAGTAGTGGATGGTGATCATCAAAATAGAGAAGGCACACCACTGAAAACTGTTTTCCGCATTCTACAGAATCTCCCCAATGCCATCAGGAATCTCATATTATCAACAATGATAGCTATAGGAATTGGTGGCAATAACATCACTGTTTATGTGCCGAAAATACTTTTAATTTGTTCATCTCTAAATTACGCTATTATATTAAACATCGTGATGCATTATATTTCTGTTTAAGTCAGCGCTTCGAGGAAAGTTATTCAGAGTCTAACACGTAACAGGTGTTTAAAAATCATCCAACCATCATAAACTGTACTCGACTACTGTCTGTCAACATATTCCGAAATCTAAGGGCACTAAATAGCCGTTTCATCCTGATTTCTATCTCATCAACAGTGCGCACATACGACACAATATCAGATGTAGCCTACAACCATCAGGTCCCGTGACTTCCTCATCGCCTCCCAAAAAGTGTGTTGGAATTCGATAACTCATGTTTTCTCACTTCTGCTCATTTGTGATATAGGACAACCACCATCCAGTGCTATGGAGGCTCATTCCATCCAACATCTATCTCAGATAATATCACAGGTGGTGGCTTCTCACTGAAACCTTTTGAAGTCCATGTAGAAAAGACTCTGTAGTTAGCATTCCAACGGCAATCTGCTCCCCTTAACACTACATTGTAAGCAAAGTGATACTTTACTGCTTTGATTCGTTCATCAGTAAATAAAACCAGTCAGACACATGATTCAAAGTCAACTAATATTTGATCAGAGGAATATATTTACGCAGCTCGTGCTCCAACGAGGCAGAATGCAGCTGTACTCCGATGTCTGTTCCTTTGTTTACTTGGTTGTTTGTTTGTTTGTTTAGCACCAAATGGATGTTGGTGAGAAGTTCACACAACACAATTCATCGATCATTATTTTCTGCATTGTAGATGTGTGGTTTGTGACTGGAGTGCTGATCGACATGCTGACATAAATTATCGTCTCATATTCCACACTACGTCATAAATGTATCATTAGGTAATTTGTCACAAGGCAGTACTGCTGAGTACATTCAATTATTCATGACTCGGAATAATAATTTGCTTCTTGCATGTCTTTTCATTTTTTCAGCAATATTGTTGTACGGTGTCGATGGTAAGTTCCTCAACATTATTACCGGTATATGCACGGATTACCTTTTCCCTTCACATCACTCACTTGACCTGCACACATCGATTTTCAAACAACCAGTCGCTATGCAGATGTGATGCATGATGGATGAGTGTATGATCAGTCGATTGTGTAGAGAAGTAAGCTGTATGAGTCTGCTGGACTGAGACATGGATTCAACATCAAACAAGTCATTCAGTCATTTCAGCTACGGAATATCAGCCAGAGAATTTGGCACTCTGTTTTCCTAAGAAATGCTTTATATCACTTTACAAATAAACACGATAATGCTATATTGCAAACAGTATGTGGAGAACAGCGACTTGGACGATGGTGCTCTGAGAAGTATTTCCCAAAGCAGAATTCACGCCTCTCTGGTTCATTTCACATCCGCGATATTGAATTCTGAATTTGACTACAAACTATGTTGAATGCCGTTTTGCATATGTTCTCACTTTGAGTGATTCTCGACGGATACCATGAATTCAATTAGTGAGTGCGAAACGCCAGCTGCATGATGGTTACATGATGACACTAATGTACGTCACGTTCTGTTTTGGACAGATTAGGTAAACTTCTAATTTCGTGACGCATTTATTTTTACTGCTTTTCGTTTGAGTGATTATATCCTGCCTCCAATATTTAGCATCCGGTCACATCCGGTCCTTCAACTCTCTTCATGCTCTTTGATTATTTGCTCACCTGTTGTCTCACTTATTGTGTGTTGAATCGCATGTGCGATCCCAAAGTTGTTCATAGTAATCGATTCTCACTCACATTGTGGGAAGCCACGATGTTCTCTGGAGGAAAAGCAGTCACTGTTTGCACGACTCTAAGTAGTTGTGACGTGGACGAGATTGACCATGGTCTTGTTTACAGCTCACTGATTTCTTGCAGTGAACTAAATGAAACACCTTCATCTTTCTAATTTAAGATTTGAGAAATAGCAGAGATGCCCGTAACTCTCAAATAAACACGAATTATGTATTTTTAACTGCTTGACATCCAACTGTTGCTTTTGTACATCTTCTGGAATTGCGTAAATCATAGAAGCTTTGTTGTCTTTCCAAAGAAATACATTCGTCAACTCACTATATATCTTTTCCAGGTAGCGATAATGGTAAGTTTTATTCAGGTTATGAAATAAAATTTAGCTCAACAAATAGAGATAACTGTTCGTGAAGCTTACTAATTCCATAAGTCGAAATTTGTATGCATTTGTTCATCTTGGCTTTCTACTTGTGCAATATCCACCACACATTTTCTTGCTTCGCCAGAATAAAGCCTGTAGTATAGACCAAATGCGTTTTTAGTTCTTATGGATTTAACGGTGTGAAAGTGAATTGTGAAACTGATGTAAAAATGTCTCTCATTGCTGGGTATATGGATGGTGATTCTATGTGACAATTCAAGACATTTTTCAGGTGCATTACGAGATTTCTGCATTTCCATGACATGAAATTTCTACAACATTTCTACGATAAGAAACACTGTACGAGTAATCTGAAGAACAAATGTATAATGTTGAGAATGAAGGCAATACAGAACCATTGAGGTATATTCAGATGATATGCGGTCAGCTTCCTCTCTGCCTCAGTGATAATAAAGGTAGTAATCTTCTTAGAATACTTAGCAGTTAAATGTATGACAGTATTACGGATTCCGTAAATGTCACGATGCTATGCGTTCAAAGAAAAACAATTTCAAGTTACATTTAGGCCCATAGTTTGGCCACAAATTCCAGTTAGCGCATTGAAAATGCTCTGTTTGTTTTTGTATATTTGAAGGGCTAAAATACAATTTTCTTCATGCAACTCTGGTGTTTGTAGTTTGATGTCTCTTCTCTTCGAAATGTCTTGTAAACGCTTCAGTGGGCCGACTGACATCTCTCTTCCGCAATAAACAAAGTGGCAATCACATCGACACCAATTTACAGCGTCATTACTTCAGTTACTTACCATCCAGAGTCATTAGGGTGAAGATGATCTAATCTAGGTGGTCGTCAACCTATGAATAATAACCACCTTTTCAGATCCTCCATTCTCTCTAGACTCAGAAAAGATCACAACTTCATAATCATTAAACTTAATAAAGTAGTTGAAGTCATAACTAAGGACAGGGTTGATTATGTAAAGAAAATGGATTCAACACTGCACGACACAAGCAAATTTTAGAAACTAGAAACAACGGAAGACCTGGTGGAAAAAGCGGTCAAGGATCTAATCGTCACTAAACCTGAGGTATATTTTAGCCCTATCGTAAACATGACTAACTCAATTTAACACACGATCGCCAAATGGTTACTATGATTACCTCAGACTTTACGTGATGAGTTTGCGAGATAGAACGTGGAAGACGCTTTCCCATTTGTGGACGAAGTAGAAAC